GGTATTTCTTAAATAATCTTAGAGGCGGATATTTACTAAACGCAAGAGAAAAGATAAAATTTTACATTAACTGGCAAATAACTGTCATCTGAAAATGGGTACATTTCTCTGTGTCTTTGGATTCAATTTCTATGTATATAAAACAAATGCATTGCTTAAGTAATAATTATATAATGTTAACATGTCTAAAGATTATTATTTTTTAGTGTTAATTAGTGTTCATAATTTCTAAAGCCCTGAAACACTACACAAGCACCTTCAGATGAAATATGTCATTTATGTAGCTTTTGGTTTTTTGCACCCTGCTGCTAATTCCTTTTTGATGTTCTGAGTCATTTTTCCAGTAGGGAGCTTTGCAGATCAAAAACAAGCGTGAAATTTTTCAGATAACACATTTTAATGATTTACTTGCAAATTATCTCTCTCTCTTCTGCACATATTTTTAAAACTCAAAATATTCTGAAGTTTTGTTGGCAACAAATTTCAAAGATGTTGCTTTGAAAAATGAGAATATGAGAAAATTTATCTTCTGTGTTCTTTTGTAAAAGTCAAATAATACGTGTTATCTGGAGATGTGGTGGAGCTGTAGGCTTGGACTGGAATATGTCTTGCTGCAAAAGTGAAGAAAGACTTGTTTGAAAAGTCTCTGATCTCAGAAGTGGCGTGTGAGCGAACAGTGCAGTGAGAAATTCGTATGAATTCATTAAATGGTGAACTTAAAAATCTGTCTTTGTAAGTAGGGCTTTGGGAGGAGGGGGAAGAGTTTTACGAGTAGATATCCTTATCGCTCTCCTGTAAGAGCTGAAGATGTTTCTGTGTTAGGTGTCTGGAAACTGAGGCACAGGCACGTGCTTGGACAGGGACCATAAAGCAAATAACATTGAGAGCTGGGACCAGTGCGGCAGCTCCTGCACCTCCGTGAACTGCTCCAGGCACCAAAACCAGGCAGTTTCATTGCTGTTGAGGAAAACGCAGTAAATCTTTCATCTTTCATCTGAATTGGCCAGATTTTGGTACGCTGAAGGTGTTGTTTAATATTCTTTACCCAGCTTTGTTAGGACTTTGGCTCCTAATGGCAGTTATGTCTTTCGCTACAATTTTATGAGGGTGTGGGTTTTCTCTCATTGATTCCTTAAATGGCCTGCTCTTGATGTTAGTTCTGGTCTAAAAGATATCAGCACTTGTCTCCCGTCAATATTAAGGTTTTATTTCTGTCCTTTACATACTTATGACAATAATAAATGGCAGCAGTTATAAATACCTTCACTTTTTGACGATAAAGCAGCCAACAGTGGTGATCTCAGTTCAGTGTTAAATTCAGCCATGCTCTTAAAAGTCTCTTGTTTTAAACATCAAACTGCCAAATAGATATGATCAGCATGGGAGAACAAAGGAGGTGTATTCCCTGCTTCTCCCCAATGGAAACATAGTTGGCTTTCATCCTGGATTCTCCAAAACCAAAGCAATCTAATGATTCTGGCTAACCACGCTAATTCTGATTCCTTTGTGTCATCTGTAAAATCCCAGCATTCAGAATTGAAGACCAAACCCTCTGCTGCCAAGGGGTTGTTAACAGGAGAGGGAGGAAAAATGTGAACAGTTATTCTGCAGGAGGGAACAAAGAATGTGGTCACTACAGTGGGAATTGCCTTTAAATGCTGATTTACACCATAATTGGCACAAAATACCTTCTCCCCAGCTTCCTCCTCTATTTTTGCAGCTTGGATGCACCTTACAGTTCATGAATGCAAGGACTGAGCCTTCTCCAGGCACTGCAGAAACTCCAGGAGGAAGGAGGAGGTTTGGCCAGTCCTTTTGAGCATTATTTAGTGGAGCCTTCAGAGAACCCAGCAGCCTCGTCTGCCGTGTGCTGAATCATTTTCTCTTCCCTGTTCTTACACCTCCAAACCCCAACACCTTTAAAGCAGTCACTGCTTAATTGTTCCTTCAGCCTTACTCTTTGTAAAATGGGAGTAGTGATCCTTGCTACTATATGCAACACAAATAGATGTGGGCAAGATCAAGAAACTGAGTTGATAATTGGTGTTTCTTAGAAAACACTTTGAAACCACTGTTAAAATATTTACTTTAGGAACATATTTAGGCACCTTTTTTTGTTTGTTTTTAAGGAGTAGATTGATGGCCCTGCTTGGAAAGGCTGTTGTGCAGGTAGGAAGGTCTTCCTGTTCTTCAGCAAAAATAATCTTTTTAGCTGTGAAATCTGAAATCGATGTGAAAGCTGCCACTCTTGCTGGCATTTACCCAGGTGCCAAATGTCACTTTAATGCAAGCTTTTTCTGAAGACTGAGAAAAATCTTCTGATGTGGTTCTGTAGAAGTAGAAAAGAAGATTGAAAGGATAGGGTGGTTCCCCAAGTGTTTGAGCTGGTTTTTTAAACAGACTTTTTGAACAGTTCTGTGGTTGACTAAAATGGACTTCTTTTCTTTTTTTTTTTCTTCTTTATGAAGTCTAATTCCTTACGCCCCTCTCCAATTTTGAAATTTAGAAAGGGAAAAGAATAGGTACATTTGTAAAAGAAATGTAAATTCAAGATGTTGAATTATGGACATCTTTTAATGGTAAATGATTTCTTGGAGCTTTCTGTTGTGAATTGTTAGTATTTCACAAATGCTGCATTTTAAAATTGCAAGCTTTTCTTTTGAAGCTGGAAGTCATGATTAAAATTACTTTCCAGCATTTTGTAAAAAGGATGACTGAATGGTTCAGGGACTAGGTGAAACAATTAAAAATTTTCTTTTTGTTCAGGATTTTGGTTTTGTTACTGGCCGGCTGGATCTAAAAGCAACAGTCAGTGTGTTACCTCTTCAGAACTATTTTCTGTTCTTAAGGGCTGTGAATACACGTCACAAAACCCTCTGCTATAATGAATCCCAATGTTTGGTATCAGCAAAGCCCTGGTCTTCACTGAGCTGTGGTCTCTCATAGTCCTGTTCCCACCACTGTGACACTTGCAGTCATGGACATTTAGCTGAAGAGGGTCTGTTATATCATCCCATCTGTGATAATGCAGCATTTTTTCCTCCAGGAGACATCAGCCAGGAAAATTTTATGCTGGTGCTGCTCGTTCTGTGTGTTTGGTGGCTAAATGAAGGGCCTTACTCTCTTTGGGAGTCAGCTGCCTGCCTTCCTGAGTATGAAATTCAGTCTCTTGACACATAGATGTGTGTATGTGTGCACACCAGAGCAACGCTTTGCCTCTCCAAGGCTTCTTCTGAGAGGTCTCAACACCCCAGTCTTTGGACATGTACTGGTGCACACAGATGAATGATGAAGTACTGAAATGCCTGATGATGTTATAAATTGTTGGCTGCTGTTGGATTTCAAGGGCAGCCAGTGTCGGAGGCCACTTGAAATGAGATGGTGTCTCTGAAGTATCTCCAGATACACAGACACAGACCTGTTGGTTGTAAACGCCTCCATGGGGGATCTTGGGGCTGTGAATTACAGCATCTGTGTTCTCCTGGAAGCCACCCACAGGTCCAATAAACCAGGGGGAAGCTCCAGAATCAATTTAAATATACATTAAAGACGCCTTTTAAATAATAACAAATTCCAAGCTTTTATTCTTCAAAATCATAGTTTACTACTGTATCATAGACTGGAAGATTGTGCATGTTAATTGTCAGTTCTCACTTTAAGGCATGAATGTCTGTGGTGGAGGTGCTGCATAAAAATAGGTGGCTGCTGAAAATAGATGGCTGCTCTATGTCAAGTAATAATCTTCAAGACTTCCCCCCCCTCAAATGTATGTTCAAGTTTGTTTACTCATCGTATCTGTTATTATTACACCGTAATTGTATGTTTTTATTATAAAACTGCATTTGTTACTGTTTCATACGCCCTTATAAACATCTGTTTTATCTTTAGGGGTGTCGTATTATTGTGCTTCTCTGTTCTAAAGCACAAAGACAGGCTCAGATCGTTAGCCATGCTGCTATTATGTGGTCAATGTTAATGTTTTGGGCTTCTGAAATGAATGAAATATGCATTACTGGCATGTGACAGCTGTTTTTACTTTGGTTTTAAAATTATTTGTATTAAAGTAGAGTGTAAAAGTAATAATTTTTGGCTGCAGAGCCATTGCCTAAATGCTGTGGTTTGAATTTAATGAACGTACTTGTTTGATCACATCTTCAAAAAAAAAAAAAAAATTATTTTTAAATGTCAATGAAATTTTCTCCCTCACACCCTTTTTTTTCTATTTTAACGATCAAAGTGTTTTAATGGATATTTGTGAAATCTTGTGATTTCTTGATGAAAAAGTAGAGCTAATAGCTGTTTGGTTAAAATGAAGCCAGAAAAGCAGCGATGCTGGGTGAGCTTAATGATGGTTCTGAATGTCCCAGGGGTTTTGCCACTGGCTTCAGCTGTAGAAACACAACAGAAAGGTAGATTTGTGTGGGAACAGAGATGAAGAGACATTTTTGCCCAAAGATACTTGTGTACAAGTAGGGCCTCAGCCCATTATAGTATGTGTGAAAAATACATTGGCTTAAACTGTGTGGGATGCAGGGTGGTTTCAAGCTGTTTCATTATTTTTTTAAACTTTGCATTTGCAATGGGCTAAAAGAACAAACAAGTTAATGCCATCTGGCTAATGGATTGTAACTTCTTAGGTATGATAATTGTTCTTGTGGTTGTGTGTTCATAGCAAAAGACTCTGTGATCTTTGACAAGTTGTTTGGTGTTTCTGTATGGCATTTAACAAAGCAACAGTGCATGTTAATTAATGCTTGTACCTTAACGATCTAAGGTCCTCTGCCTTCCTACCTTAGACTAGAGATGGCAGCAGCAATATGTCTAAACACACAAAGAAAGTACTGTATTTAAAATACCCAGATTATCATAGCAATTAAACCACACTGCAAACTCAGTCAGAAACTAAACTATCAGGAATGTATTTGCTTCTTACCAGTCATTTTGGAGGATCCTTAAATTATATAGTAATGCGGATTGTTTTACGCTTTGCTTTTAAACAGGGCAGAAAAGCTCCAGTTGCTTAACCACAGGCCTGTGACAGCAGTTGAAATCCAGCTGGTGAGTAACAATGCTCCTGCCTGTTCAAAGCTTAAACGAAAGCAGCTTTAACCTTGAAGATCAATTGAATAATTACTTTCTCATGGTCAGTGATTGAATGTATCCCTTTATGCACATCTTTACATTCACGGTTTCAAATCCCCTCAGCTTCCTCTCTGAGGATACTTCCTCAGAGAATTGCCCATCTTTCTCTCAGCCAGATTCTCCACCTCTGTTTGCTCCAGTCTCACATAGTGAAAATGCCCCACGTAGTCATTAAAGGTTAGTTACAGTATCACGACTAAGAATACATTTAACCTGAGTCTTCTTGCTGCTGCTCCCTAATCAAGTACTTCACGTTTTGACAGCTGTGATGACATGGTTGTTTTGGTGGCAGGGTTTTATGGTATCGTGAAACTAAACATGCTGAAAGTGAGTGAGTAATCACTGATACGGAATTTTGCGCAGTGGTGCAGGATGAGAAATGGATATAAACAGACTTTCTGATGTGAAGTAGCTGTTATCAGTCTGTTAAGCATAAAAAGAGGGATTGTCGCTAAGTAGAAATAGATGGTTATACTCTCTGAAGTATCTCCTTAGGAATACAAAATCCTGTGGTAATAAAGGGATTATTATAATAAGGATATTCTTTTAATAAAGTTCTCTTACATTAAGCACATCTGTTTACAATCTTATCCTGAAACCAAACTATGTAGTAACGGGATCATATTTTGCTGCAAAAAAAAGGGAAGGATTAAAGAGGTACCAGTAGGACTATTTATCTTTCATAGCCAAGGAGCAGACAGTGTAATGCTGAAGGCATCTCATAAAAGAATGCTTCTAGCTGAGGAATTAATACTGTGTTTTGTGATTGATGAGATCAGTGTCAATCATCAGCCCAACCAAGAGCATTAAGGCTTTGTGAGTTTTGCTTAGGAAGTTATTTATAAGCGATGGTGTAGAGCCTGTCTCATACCTTTATTAGCTTCATGGGCTTAGGCACAGATTTATTGTATTCCCTAGGCCATATATGGTCTGGTTTTCCGTCCTTTAAATGCAGTAATTTTTTGCTGTTTTCAAGGGACTGTGTGGTTTTGTCTGTCTTTCTCCCTTGTTAACCTACCTAGTTCCTCATTATCTTACCTATCCATAAAATATTGAAAATAGTCTTGCTCCTGTGTCATGTTTGAAGTCCAGGAGGCGAGTATAAGGAACTTGGGCCTTTATATTAGAAGTCAGATTTCCTCAGAGTGTGTACTTTCAATATTCCAAGGTTTGTAATGTCAAAGTTAGGTAAAACTCATTGCTAAAACTTACAGAATAGAGGTACAAGATTTGAGTTCAGTATCAGTCCATTATTGGTACATAACCCTTCTCTAATGATCAAAAGCAACTTGTGAAAAATGTAATATTCATACATTTGGGGACTAGCCCGAGTTTGTATAATCATGGAAGTATCGGGGATGCAGTTACTTCTGTTCCGTTGCCATACCCCTGTAATTCTCAGGGCAAGTTTCTCCAAAACTAGTATTACAGTAAACTAGGTTGACTGGATTGTTAACACTGTGCTAAATTAGACCTCCCCAAAATTGCAGTACACTTACTCTTTCATCAAAGCACATCAAAGAGCTTTTGAGCTCAATAACTGCTAGGAAACTGCAGGCCATCTTTGTTAGTGAAATACAGAGACTGGAGCAATAGCAAGGAAATAATTTTGCTGTTCAATTGCTGTCCTGAGTCATTTTGGAGTTTGGTGAGGGCAGGGGAAAGAGAGTGTAGCACTGCAGCATCTTTGAACACAGAAAACCTCTGTCTTCTCTCATCATCTTTGAGTGTAAAATAATGCAGAGCCACAGAGGCTACCAGCGTTTTCTTCTTTGATGTCAGTGGGGAGAAGATTACCCATAGCCAGATTTTGTGCAGGCAAGTCAATTCACTGCAGTCGATGGATGAGAGACAACCTACAGAGAAGTAAATTCTAGGTCTAAAATTGCCTTGTTTCTCTTTTCATTGAACTTGCCCCTGCCACTCAAAAGCTTTAAGTCACTCCTGGAATTGATGATGAAAACTTTTGACCGCTTCATGTAATGCAGGCAAGTCAATCTTATTTTTTAAAAAGCCAGCTTTAAACAAAATGCCAAGCAAGTCATATCTCTGTCTCTCACTTGCTCAAATAGTTTTGATGTCTCCATTTTTTATTCAGCGCTGCCTGTCTGTGGAATGCAGTCAGATTTACCTGATAGGCTTTTAGCAGCTGATGTGGGAGGACAGTCCCATTTACTACTCCTTGTTGCTTTTTTGCCTTTCCAGCTTTTTGGTTCTTTACTTTTCCTCTGTAAAATCCCCTGTCTTTAGTAGTATGCAAACAATAAATCAATTTTGATAAAATTATACTTAAGCTAAAAGGCAAATTTGTGTTGTGATCTTTTGATCTCCAGTGCTTTTGTAAGTCTCAATGCATAAATTGCTGTATTGTTCATATTTGTCTTTTCTGGACTGTGTGCCAGGATTTATTTGCAAACAACAATAGCAACAAAAGGAGCATGAAATTCTAATTCATATCCCACAGGGTAAAACACTGTACACACTGCAGCTATCTTGACCTCCTGTTTTAATCTTTAACATATGTTCTTCCTGGCTTGGTAATTCACAAAGGAAGAAAAAAAAGACAGTGATGTTGATCTAAGCATGACAGTGGTCCAGCTTTATTTCATGCTGAACCATGATGGGTTTGAAGATTAAGTATCATCCTTTCTAATTAACAAATTGCTCTACATTTTTCTTTCTGACTGGAAAAGTAGATTTTAATTCTGTGCTTTTTAAAACTAGATTTCCCTCTCAGAGAGCTTTGTACCTTGTGATGTGTGCTCTGCATAACCAGCCTGGCAGATTATCTTTTATTGTTGAATAGAAAATAATAATATAAAGTGTTCTTCTGGAAAACAGAAGATGTTAGAGGATTAAACATTTTATTTTCTCAGCAATATATTTTGATTCCCACTTTGCATACTTGGTTAATGATCTCTGAGGGACATTAATCCAGTCATTCAGTCTTTTATTCCTTTTTTTAATGCGTTTTTTTTTCTTTTAGCGTGTTGGTGGTGAACAAATTACTGCTCCAAGGAGGAAGTAGTAGTCATTTTCTCATGAAATATGTACCTCCTACACTGGAGGTACATTATGTGCTTGATAGCTTTGGAAGTGATCAGAACCCCTCTTCCTTTTTTACTGCAGTTTACTGATGATTTTTTTTTAAATAGAATTCTTAGCTTATTATTCAAACAAACAATAGCTTTTAACCCACAAATTGTTCTGACACTGAGGTTTGTTACCCATCAAATATTACTTGAGACAGTTTCTCAGTTCTTTCAGAACTTTTTATGGTTCTTCAAGTGTGTCTTTATTCTCTAACCTTTTCGGTGTATTGTCATGTCTCAGGAGTATAAATGAAATAACCATTAGCACTGAAAGCTTAAAAGAAGCACAGGGAGGGTGATGAAGTCTCTTATACTTGCTTTTACTTTGGTAAGCAGAGTAGATAAGGTATGGTTATAATTAGGGGAAGCACATGCTTAAAATGTTTGTCCTTGTTTGACCGAGTAAAAAAAAAAAAAAACAAGTGTGTGTGTGTGTATATATAGATATATGTAATGTGTCTGTGTTCGTATTTTGTGCTTACATGTATACATGGCACTATGGGTATACAGATTTGCATGCTTATTTTATGAGTAAACAATTCCAAGGATTAAAATATCTTGATAGCCAGGCTAGCTGTTATTTTCAGATTTACCTTCTCAATAAATAAAAACTTTTAAAACTTCTGAAAATAACATCCTGTCATCGGCAACTTTTAGTGTGACTTACTGCTTAATGTAATTCTGCTATTACGTTCCGATTTGGTAATTATGGTTGTTTTGTTCCTCTGAGAAATTGATACATAGCACTCAATTAAAAAAAAAAGCTACTGTTACAATGTGCAGCTGGGACAGGCTGCACGGCAGCACAATATTCCACATACACATTTGTTTAATAAGCCCAGCTCTGGTTCCCAGCAGCGGTTACGTTACTGAGCGAGGCATCTGCCAGTGTTTAATTCTGCAGTTGGCAAGAGACTTGTCTTTTCCTTCTCTTGTAGCGAGGTTCAGTGGTGGATGTTGGATGCACGTTTCATTTTGCTGTGATAGGAAGCCCGTGCAGAGATGTATCTGGAGAGGCAGAACAGAATTGGCACCCTTTTCTTGACATACTCTGCATTCAGTAAATGCTTGCCTAACTTTAAGCTTAAAGTCCAGTCAGGCTAGTTGTACCTCTTGACTACTTCAAATTCAGTCACTGCATAAGCTGTGGCTTAACAGCAGTAGGTACAAGGTGCTTAAACAGGTGAAAAATTGGTTATTAGACTTCTAAATAAAGGTGGCATTGCTTTCAGAGGTGAGCAGTACAGTAGCTTCAGCTGCCTTCTGAATATTTTGTATATATTCCAGAGTTCTGAAGATCTGTTTTTATCGATACATTTATCAATAAAATAAGAAGGAACTCTAGGCACTCAGGCTTGGAAGATATACATTAGCTGCAAGGGGAAACATGCCTCCTTTTTTTAGCTGTAAGAATTTTATACCAATTAAGTTACCAAGTAAAGTTTTCCTGCTTCCTTCCTTGAGTCCTTCTTTGGTCACCCTGTAGATGATATCATTTAAGAGCATTAGCTGGAGGGGGGAATGAAATGTGAAAACTGCTTCCTGTATGCGTGTGGTGCAATGAGAATTAAAAAACTGTTACTGATTGGAGTGAAATCAAAGTTGATATTGAGGCCTGACTTGACTGAATTGGATCTTGGCCACAGAGTTGCACTTCATAGAAAATACATACTGTATGTATGTATGAATGACATTGATAATAACGTTTGCTACACAACCACTGCCATTATTTTGGTATAGTATAAATGCTGAAAAGCAGTAATGATTGGGGAATTATTTATTGCAAGAAGCAGCAGAGCTGCCACGGTTCACTGCCTTCCTCTTGTGTTCATTTCAAAAAAATCCTTGTTCTCAGCCCCGAGAAGGAGACAACCTTCATGTTGCTGCACATCAGGGTGCTTTTTATCTATCAATCGTGTTCCTGCAGCATTGTCCAATTCTGTTACTTGCACAAACACCTGAATATTGAAAATGCACAGTTCAGGGGAGTGATGGTGCCCTATGCTTTGCACGTGGCATCATCTGTGAAGGTAATCTGTTTCCATTCGGGGTGTGTGGCACTGCCAACACAAACATCTGATGTCATACATTTATTAAAAACATTTGCATTTTTGTTTTCCTTAGTATAAACTTCACATTCCTGACTGCTTATGGCTTGAATCTCTTGCTGGGGCAGTTTCAGGCAGTTGCAAGTTAGAGGTTAGTAAGGCTTTTTGGTAGATATTTTTTCATATATTGGTAAAATTCTTGCTGGAAAAGTAGGTACTTGAATACAATTGTTTCTTTTTGCCTTTTAGGCTTTTTTTTTTTTTTTACACATAATTTCTCTTCTGAACATCATAACGTTATTTCTTAGCAATATAAGTAGCAAAGGTATTTTTGTCTTATAGCTGTAAATCAGAAGATTGTGCGAATATCTGTTGAATCTAAAATAAACCTCTGAGTGACCTTCTGTTTCCCTTTATCTGTTTTCCTGGAGGACAGTTTCATTTGCCTCTATGTGCTCTCAGTGCTTAATTTTTGAATTTTTCCTTTTGTCACGCTGCTTTGCTGCTTCCTAATTGCTTATATTTTCATAAATCGCTCCTCAGGCTTTTTAACCCGAAGAGTGAAAAAAATTGATTTTTATAGCTTATGCTTTTGATCCTTAGAGCTCTTGAATAGTATCATAGCTAAATAGTGCTGAAGCATCAACTTCAGTATTAAACTGTCCGTCCTGCCAAATGCAGATTTTTGTCTATCAGTGGTTCCTGCTGTGAGAGCTGGGAGTAAGGATGCGTGGCTCCGAGGCACTGAGAGGTGAGCCCTTGATGAATTTGCTACACATTTTAAGTAATTACCACTTTCCTCTGGCAGAGACTATGGATCTGTCAACAGAAGGGAGTTTGGAGCTGCCTTACCCACTCCTCAGTGCTGTTTCCAGCATCTTTCTTTAAAGATGCTTTTCTCAACACTCTAATGAGACATCAGTTAAGCATCTGAAACATGAGAGGCTATTTTCTTTCATCAACTTTCTGGTAAAGTGTGATTTCTTAAACTGCCAGAGCAATCACCAGAGCTCATCTGTCAATGTCCTCGGCCGTATCTGCAGTTTGTCAGTCTTGCAGCCTTCTGTGTTCAGCCAGTACAAATGACATCAACCTGATTGTTCATACTGGGAGTTGGGGCATTACTCATTTGGCACTGGGAAGTGCGTAAGAAGCCGTGATGAGACACTTGCCTAAGTATATTCTGCCTTAAACGCAGAAGTCGAGAAGAGTTGATGCTGGTCTAGAAATGGCTGTCTATTATCTGTTTAAGTTCTGATCAAATCCTTGCGTTTAACTCTGGCTACCTGAAGGAAGCACCTGAAGGAGAAAACACTTGGAGAAGAGAGGGAAAGGAGATGTGTAGGGAGGGATAAAATTTAAATGGGGAAGAAGGATGGACCTTATGTGATGCAATAAATCAAATGTACACCAGGCAAGGTGCCATTTTTCTGAAGATCAGAAAGCAGTGGGATGGTAACGAATGCAGGAGACATCGGCCACTAAGAGATAAATCACTCTGCCTTAAGTGATATTGCCTGTCCAAAGGATGTGGGCTTTTTCTTTGTACGGTTCCTGCTGCGATGGCGCTGTCACCTTTAAAGTTCAATGTAACAGTAATTAATAACACTATAATCCAGTCCAAAAACCAGGCTGATAATCCTCTACAGGACTTAATAGCATAGGTCATCTGAAGAGTAACGGCTTTGTCAGCAGTATCAGCAACAAAGAGTGTGTGTATGTGCTGCAACATACATTATTGTATAATGTTGATGCCCCAAGGTGTGCTCGTCGAGCTGCTGATCCCCTCTGAAACGCAGCCCAGCAGACAATTATCCGATACCACTTCAGTAGCTGCAGCAGTTGCTTACACAGAAGGGTAATGTTAGGAGGGTTTTTAGTATATTTTAACTCACAGCGTATCGTATAGCAGCTGGCAGTAATGAGAGCCAGGGCTGTTTTTCAAACCAGGATCCTACAGTAGTTCTTGAACTAACTGTACTTGGAAAGCTGCTCCCCAGAGAATTCCATCCTTTGATCGGGAGAGTCCCCAGGTCATTTGCAAATGGATATTCACTGTCTGCCTTTTGCTACATGAGCGGATTCTAGCGTGCTCGCCTTCCTCTCGTCAAGGATCTGAGGGTAATGGCTGATGAAAGATGATCAGATTGTGCAAAGAGGGCTCACAGGACATTGAAGAAATAAAACGTTAATTGAATATACCACTCTGCTTTTTAGAAGGCAAGATGCATCTGAATAGCTGACAATTTATGGCAAGAACTGATTAAACCTGCGTTGACTTGGAACCATAATTAATATAAATCACTGCTCTTCAAAGGACATTCTAAAGGACTTTGTATAAAAAAGAAAATCTCAAGCTCCGCAATCCTAATTGGTTTCATTTGCGTTTGAAGAGTTCTTTTGGCTTGCTTTTCCAGTCCTCTCACAAGCTTTTCCTTTTAACAGCTGCCTATAAATTAGGGTAGTTGTTTTTACTGGTAGCAGTGATATAAGAGTTCCCACAGCTCCGCAGTGAGAGTAGGTCCCTAATTAATCTTACAGAATTTTATTGTTGGTTTGTGACAGCATGTTTTGTGTTGCTCGGAGCTTTTACATCCCTTTATATTCAGGAATCTCACAATCTAAGCAAATTCCAATAAAGTATAGCTGCTGTAGGATTAGGTGGTTTCTTTTATGGCCTGATTACTTACAGCCTAGGTGCTGGATAAGATACCAAGGTTCGGTAACCACTCTTAGGTTATCTCATTTCTGTTCTCACATGAAAGCACAGGCAGGAACTTAGGGAAACGGGGCTGGAAGGTAGGTCTGCACGTGAGCTAAATGAGAAGCCTGGCTCAGGATACGGATGTGTAGGCTGAGAGAGGCTTTAGGAGAAACCCGTGAGGAAAGCCTCATCTGAGCATGGTCTTCTCCTTGTAAAGAGAGCAGGGTCTCATTATGGAGTGCCAATTGTAGTGGTTAACAATGGAGCTCTTCTTTCTTTTTTAAAATACTGTAAGAGTTCCACTTTGTAAAATGCTCTTGTAACGAGCTCAGACAATGTCTTGCATCCATTGAGAATAGCATTTCCCAATTAGTTCAGTCCTTCTGTTTGGAGCTGAGGAAGGAAGTATGGATTTAATGATTACAATAGGTGGGTTTTTTTGACCTGCAGATGGTAGAAGAAAGCGAGGAAAGGCTGACAGAAGAGCAGATTGAGTCACTTCTCCAGACGGTCACCAGTATTCTTCCAGGGGATTCAGAAGAACAACAGAGAGACTCGGCAATGGCAACCGAAGACAAAGGTGACCGAGCGTAGGAGGCATCTAGACCAAAGCTGGCAACAATTTTACCAGAAGAGAATCAACTAATACTTTTCTTTTTTTTACTTGATACCAGTTTAATCTTGTATTGGACATCATTGTAAAATATATTACAATTTTTATTGCTTGGAGGTGATGAGGGAACCAATTGTTTACAAGAAAGCATGGAAAAGGACACCATTGTGTTGGCATTTTGTCATAAACAGGAATGGTAGTAAGTGGGTTTGTAATGTAGCAGTCTGAAAATTTATGGGGCACAGAATCTGAAGCTTTTGTATTTTTTCCATTACCCATGTAACAGCTGTACATTTGAATAGGCTTATATACAGCTGGCAATGTTTTCATTATCACAGCAGTACTATAATTATAATTGCTTTCATATGCTTTTGAATTGCCCAACTGGTTTTCAGAATACGGTCTACAATACAAAGCCAACTTTTGGGAGCTGTTTGTGAAAAGGGCTGTTTTCAGTGAGCAGAACATAGAGCGATGCACAAGAACTGCTTGGTATCTGGCCAGAGGCTCTCAAGTAGGCTGTTGGCATCACGGAAGCGAGAGGATGTGTTGGTAGGGTATCTGTTCTCAGGGACGTCTGACAGTCCGTGCTCAATAAAAGAGAGATCCAGGTCACCAGCTAAAACAACATATTGCCACTGAAATCAGCTGGGTTGCACCGGTTTATAGCAGTTGAGACTCTGGACTCAAATGTTAAGGCTCTTAGTAATACCAACAGAACATTTAGGTGTATATTTTCCCTTTGAATGTTTGTTTCGATATTTATCTATAGCCAAGTCACAGTCTTGTGAACCTGCTGTCGACCATGGAATAAACGAATGAGTCAACACTGAATAATCTGTTTTAGAAGAGTGAGGATCCGTCCTGGTTGAAGCAGAGTTTTTTGTGTACTGAGCTTTTTTCTGATTAAAGATTTCAGGATCGAGTATTTAACGTTGAAAGCATTGATGATTATAATAAATCTTTTGTATATGTACACACACAGTAAGTCATGAGTTACACATGGTGCTGGTTTTATACTGTGACTGCAGACCATTCTTTTGTAATTATTATGATATACTGGAAATAGAAATAAAGTTTGAAGTACATCCTGGGAATTTTGTGGTTTATAGAAAAGAAGTAAGACCTTGAATCAGAATCTGTGACTTTTTCCCCACTTCTGTCATGGTTTTATTTTGGTTTTTATGCAAAGAATTTACACATTCTGACCTTTAGCTGGGCCATATATGAAAGGGAGTGATAACTTCCAGTGTCTGGGGGTTATATGATATGCATTTCCGTGATATTTTAAGCTTCTTTGATGTTTGGAGAGGAAAGGAAATTATTGGAAAATGTATTTTTTTATCTCTTAAATGTAATTTATCTTCCATTAAACGTGTTCCAAGGCGGAAGACTAAAGGTACGTTTTGACCGGGTAAGTATAGTATTAGGGGGGAGAAGTCCTTGGTGGTTTTTGTGATAGGTCACTATATATTTTCTCTCTAAATGGGCAACAAAACAAAAGAGATGAGTAGAGCATATCATGCAACGATGTAAAATTAATGTTAAAATTAGCATTTTTACTCTTAGCAGTCACTGGTGTTGTTTGACATGCTGTGGCCTTGGGCTGCAAGTGTTTACATTTTTATTTGTTGTCTTTTTCTAAAATTAAGATATTGAAGTGTGTTCTAAACTTACAAAAAACAGATGGAAATAGATGGCACGTATCCTTAGCCAGCAGGAATATTTTAACAGATCTCTGAAGTTGTGTGTTCCGTCTTGGGAATTGGTTTGTTATCACAGTGGATTTTTGCCAACATCCATGTTGTCATCTGTTGTGTGTGTACTGTAACAGATACAAGAACCCCTTCACTTGCTATTTTATTTAACCTTTTTATCAAAATCCATTCCAGATGGATACATCTATTAAACTTGTGCAAATGGCTTGTTCGGTCTCCATTAAGATACATAAACTATGATTTCCCTAAAAATGCAATACCAAGTAATATTTGAAGGGACCTGGGATTTCGACATCTGCATTACATTGAGAAATCATTTTTAAATCTCCTGTCTGTGCTCTCTGAGGGTGTAAGTACAGGTGAGGAATTGCTCTGGCTCCGAGAGCAGGCTTCTCCTTGTGGGGTTTGCTCTCGGATGTGTTCTTTGGAAACCCGAGTCTCAGAAATGGTTTATGGAAAGCTAATTTCATCTTGCTTATCTGATACTATTTTGCCAGCATCCTATGTATTATGTAAAAGATCTGCCTGTCTTCCAACGCTGCTTTCTGTTTTTTTAACTAATCAGGTACCTAACACAGAAAATGTGCTCTGCTTGTCCTTTTGAGGGAGACAAGATGGCATGAAGAGGGTGACCCTGTACAAGAAACAGTTGTGAGTACTGGGCACTTAAAAGCTTGGTCCATAATTTTGAGAAGAAAAGGGCAGAGAACTCGGCACTTTCTGAATATTTAGAAGCGCGTATTATTTTTAGCTTTCCCATTTCTTGTTTGTTCCTCTCTTTTATTTTGTCTCACGTATGTGGGTTTTGGCAGCTCTGGTTGTGGTAGCTCTTGTGCTCTGGGAGAAAGGGGGAACGAGGTGCCAGAATTTAGGTGAGGTTTCAGGCTCTTTGTGAGGTGTCGCAGCTTCTCGTCTCGTAAACTGAAGTCCAAGAAGGACGGCTGTTTGACAGTCCTCACTGGAGAAGGTTTATTAGCAAGAAGCTTTGTTTTATGGGAGGAGGAGGAGCTGCTGCTCTTACCTGGCTGTGCTTTGGTGCAGGGAAAGGGAAACAGGTACTTTAGGAACTGAGATGTCCACAGGGAATTTTGTAGAAGATGCAGGAAATCCCTACAGATGAGCTGAGCAGCTTCGGTGGTGGTCACACCGTGTTTGTAAGGCTGTTGCCCACCACTGGGAATTTGACAAGCTCTGCTTTTCTTATGGGGAGCAAATGTGTTATGTTTGTCTGTATTTGTGTGGTGCATTTACCAGCTAAAGGTGTGTAGTCTTAATTAGAAAAAGCAAACCCAAAACTCCAAAAGCTTGGCGTTTTGGTTGTCTTCTGAAGCGTGTCTTTGAACAACTTTGTAGTAGTACATGGAAATGGCATTCAAGCCTGATGTGTTGGTGTGCTGGAAGTTTAAAAAACATCTATGGAGTGTCTTGAAGTTTAAAAGCGTTAATACAAATGTTTTTTAAAAAGGTCCTGTTGATACTAGTGCTGTACAGAACTTTTTACTTAAATCTCTACTGGTCATAATCGAGTTACTGCTTTTGAAGTCACCCAAACTGGGCTGATCTAAACCAGTTGAGAATCATGCCCTAAAACAATTAACTGGTCACTAATGATACGGCGTCAGGGGTGAGTGTCTGCAGCTGCTGTAATCCTAGCAGACCACTGATAGGTGAAGAATAAGCAAACTGGCATACCTGAAATGCAAAAAAAGTCAAGAGATGTGACTGGAACACAGCGGAGTTGCTGCAGAGCGACGTCAGTGCGTGCCCTGGGCAAATTCCAGCTGGTTCCAGTGCTGCTGTGGAGGTTGTGCTGGGAGGGAGTGGGATGAGCTCCAGGCTGTCTGATTTGTAACTTGCTCTTCATCCTGTTGGGAATGGGATGAGTTTCTCCCAGCTGGTAGGGAAGGGGGCAGAGCTGGCTTGAGCAGGGGGGTTGGACTTGGTGATCTCCAGAGCTCCCGTTCCACCTTGGTGTTTCTGTCATTCCAAGTCCCTCCCTCCCACTGTGGACTCAGGATGTCTCTGTTTCCTCACCTGGTGAGAGGCAAAAGCAGCTCCCGTTGAGCTGAGACAGCAGGCTGGGGGTTTCTCCCTTGTCTCCTTTTCCCTTCGTGCCTGGGGCAGCCCGACCCCTTTGCCAGTGGGTGCTGGGGGCTCTGGCCCAGCCCAGATACCTTATTTCTGGGAGGTTGACAGAGAAGGGGACAGTCTTGCAAAGATGACAGCAGGATTTTGTGTCCTGCCTGCGGTTTCATCAGTCGTGTGAGCCTGAAGTTGCAGTTTATGAAGTTGCTGTGCATGAGCAGCGTGTCCTTCTGCGCGTTGCAGCTATGACAGTGAGCTGGGTCCCTTCCAGAGAGGCTCTTCTGGAATGAAGGATGTGTCCCAGTCTGCTGCTGGGATAAGATGGTCTTTCAGTGTGATCTTAATCACTGTTTTCTCTTGAGTTTTGCTTAATATTACTCCACGGGCCAAATTAATCCGTAGCGCCTCTCTGCCTTAAATTTGGGCTAAAATACAGACTCTCTCACTCGTTCACGCTGGCTGTGCTCAGCTCCCCTGAGTCAAGCCATAGGTCAACGAACCCAACTCAAACTGGGATTATTCTGGATCCTGGTTTTTGAAATGCACACTTTTTTCTGTATAGCATTTTTTATGACTAGACTTTTTTTTTGCCTCTGGCCCTGGGGGTGGCAGCTCTTTGCCACCGCAACATGCAAACACCACGTTCTGCTTCACTTCCTAGGCATGAAATCCACTTCCCTGTGCTTGGGCACGGGCTTTGAAAGCTCCAGTCTCAACTGGGAGCTACTGGGAGCTGTTGTTCAAGAGGCTTCTGAAAAGCTTTTGGCTTTGGTGAGAGGAAGGGAGGTTGGAGGAACCTGTGTGCACCTTGGTCTGGCTGAGATGGAGCTTTTCTTGCTCTTCTTTCTTTGTTTTCTGTCTGCTGCCCATAACCAGCCTTTTCCAGCCCGTTCCTGGTACCAGCTCCCAGTGTGTGGGGATTCCAGGCTGTTACGAAAGACGTACGGTGGACGGAGCAGGAAGAAGATGGTTCGAGCCTGAAAACGTGTTTGGTGTTTTGTAATTGCAGCAGTTGGTCTAAATAACAGGTAGCGTCTCACCTTGTGAGCTTTGCCTCACTGATAACATCTGCAGTTATGAAATGTTCCTGGTAATTGAGAAGGACTCACAGAAATGTCTCAGTTGACTCCTCTCCGGCGCAGGCAGGGGATGCTCACAAGTTAACCACCCGGCAGCAGCTGCCTCTTCGTGCCCTGACCCACAGAAATAAAACCTTGCATTTAAATCTGAGCAACAACTGTCGTCCTTTTAGGATGAGATGGTGACCGGGCAGGGACTAAAAACTGTTCCCAGAGGCCAGTTCTTTGTCCTTAGAGATTTATGTCCTTTCCCACAGCGCTGGGGTGGGAGATGTGGAGTGGGGAGCCAGCGTGCTGGTGTCCAGCAGGACGGGTGGTGTCTCTTCTGGTGGTGGGAGATGCCATGGATGGCTGGATGGGTAGCCAGATGCAGGTGGAGAGAGGGCTGCATCCCAGGGTTGGCATTTGCCACCTCAAGAGCTTTCTGTTGGGTGTCCAACACCACCCAACCAGTGAGAGGAGAATTATATGGTGGCTTTGGAGACAGGCTCAGTCAGCAAATGTCAGCTCTGCCACTGGCCGGTGGCCTCGGGGAAGTTGTCTCTCTTCTCTTTGCCTTGATGTTTTTCCCCCAAAGCCCTCAGGACCCCGAGGTGGGCGATGGGTTGGACATGGGCAGGGCTGTCACTCGGGCTTGCAGCGAGACTGACCCCAGGAGCGCAGCCCAAGGGCTTGTTTAACATTTCTGTGCTTTCTTGCAGATAAAGGAGCCTTTTGTATTAACAACTAGGAGCTGATGAGGAGACTGCAGCCCTCAGCTTTCCCTGTGCTTTAAGACCCACATGTGGGTGTCCTGGCAGTGCCGTGACCATGGTCCCATCCTCCTGGAGACACGTGTGTCTGCTGTGCTGGTGGTCCCTGCTCCCAGCTGGGGCTGTCCCCTTCCTGCAGCAGCCCCGGTGTGACCGTGTACTTGCATCTCTGCGGTGAGCACTTGGAGGTCGTTCATTAGAGAGAGTCGAGTTGGGAATTTCACAGGGTGAGGAGCTGCCAGACTTCACAGCCTGGTGCCCCTGGGGATTACCCCACTGTGAAGGCACGTCCTGCAAGCGCTGCACATCGCTCCCATCGCCGGCAGAAGAGGTAATGGGGAGCGGAGCTGTGTGATGAAATGACTTGCTAATGAAAACATCTGTGCTCTTGAATTGGGCACAAGATCAAGTCTGAGGATGGGCCTGAGCCACGAGGCCAAAGAGAAGCGTTCCCTCACGGG